ATCTTCATGCCGTTGCCCAGCCGCTCACTTTTGCTCCAGACCTGCTTGTCCCTGATGGTCCAGGCTTTCTCCTTGCAGGCCTAGGCCCACCAGCCCAGCCGTCTGCCCTAGTTCAGGAATCCCAGCCACTCTCCTTAGCGCTCAGTGGATGATGAGGCGCACTGCCCAACTCACCACCCCTTGGCGTTCCTGTCACCTGTGTGTTTCAGGGCCAGCCTGAGAGAAGCTGCAGTGCAGCAGCAGTCCAGTGTCGGCTTGCATCTTATCCCACGCTGACCCGTCCACAAACTAAGCTTGGCCTTTCTCCTCCTCCACCAGCTGATCAAGAAGGACTCCCACCATGCAGACAGAATAAGAAGAGGAGGAACCAGTATGCCCGTGGTGGAAGAATGGGGGTCTGAAATCCCATCACTGGGGTTTCTTTTTCTCCTCTTTATTTTTCTCAAAACTTTAAAAATGAAATCTCACCTTTTGTACCTCAAACTGATTCTAGTGCTAGTAAATGGGGAAGAGCGTGAGTGTAGGAAGAACAGGAGAGGGATAAGAAATGATTGAAAGGAAGAAATAGCTGCATTGGAGGATGTGTGTGGGCCATATCTGGAGAGAGGATGAATGAGTAGAAAGTCGAGAACTTTCTTCTCTTGCCTTCCCTGCTTCATGCTTTTTAAATTTTTTTTTTTTTATTTTTAGAGACAAAGCCTTGCTTTGTCACCTGGACTGGAGGGCAATGGCGCAATCATAGCTCACTACAGTCTCCACCTCCCAGGCTCAAGCCATCCTCCCACCTCAGCCTCTTAGTAGCTGGGACTTCAGGTGCAGGCCACCATGCCTGGCTACTTTTTTTAAAAAAAATTATTATTTGTAGAGACAGAGTCTCAATGTACTGCCCAGGCTGATCCTGAACTGCTAAGCTCAAGTAATCCTCCCGCCTCTGCCCCCCAAAGTGTTGTGTTAAGTGTAAGAACCACTGGACTTGGCCCTCCTTGCTTTCTTTTTTTGGGTCTCACTCTGTCACGCAGGCTGGAGCGCATGGCATGATCTTGGCTCACTGCAACCTCCACCTCCTGGATTCAAGCAATTCTGCTGTCTCAGCCTCCCAAGTAGTTAGGACTACAGGTGCATGCCACCACATCTGGCTAATTTTTTATATTTTTAGTAGAGATGGGGCTTCCCCATATTAATCAGGCTGGTCTCAAACTCCTGACCTCAGCTGATCCACCCACCTCGGCCTCCCAAAGTGCTGGAATTACAGGCATGAGCCACCACGTCTGACCTACACCATACTTTCTGATTTTCCACCTTCTCCTTCTCAGTTTCCTTGGTTCCTCCGGACGCTAAGGAGTGTCCCAGAGCACAGTTCCTGGCACACTTCTCTTTCCTTTCCACACTTGGTGGTATTACCCCATATCGTGACTTTAAGTATCTTCTCTAGGTTTGTAAGTCCCAAATGTACATCTCCAGCTCAGACCTCCCCTGTCCCACAGACTTGCATACCCCACTCCCTCCTAGCCATGTCATCTGGATGGCCTGCAGGGTCCACAACTAAGCTTCTGATGCCCCCAGTCTTCCACGTCTCAGTAATGACTTTATTTTTTCCAGTTGCTCAGGCCAAACATGTGGAGTCATCCTTGACTCCTCTTTTTCCTTCACCCCCACATTCGATCAATAAGCAAATGCTGTCAACGGTGTCTTTAAAACACAGGCAGAATCCAACAATTTCTGCAGCGACTGTTGTGGTTCAAGCCACCATCCACTCCTGTGTGACTATCGCATCTGAGCAGATCTTCTTGCCTCTCTCTTTGCCTTTTCTGTCTGTTCTTCACACAGCAGCCAGCATTGTGCTGTTAAGCAGAAGTCAGGTCGTGTCAGCCTGCAGTGCTGGTGCATATGCCTGTGGTCTCAGCTACTCAGGAGGCCGAGGCAAGTTGCTTGAGCATGGCAGTTCAAGGGTACAAGTAGCTATGACTGCACTTGTGAATAGCCACTGCAAGGCCGAGCCCAGTGTCTCACTCCTGTAATCCCAGCACTTGGGGAGGCCAAGGCAGGCAGATCACCTGAGGTCAGGAGTTTGAGATCAGCCTGGCCAACATGATAAAACCCCATCTCTACTAGAAATACAAAAAAGAAAAAAGAAAAAATAGCCACTGCACTCCAGCCTGGGCAACATAGCAAGACCCCATCTCTGAAATATAAAAGAAAAATAATGAAAAAATATATATGAAATTTTTTTAAAATTGTTGAGAGAGGGTCTCACTCTGTCATTCAGACTGGAGTGCAGTGGCACGAACATGGCTCACTGCAGTTTCAACCTCCTAGGCTCAAGTGATCATTCTGCCTGAGCCTCCAGAGTTGCTGAGACTACAGGTGCATACCACCACATTCAGCCACTTTTTTTATTTTTTTATTTGTAGAGATGAGTTCTTGCTATGTTGCCTAGGCTGGTCTCAAACTCCTGAGCTCAAGCAGTTCTCCTGCCCCGGCCTCCCGAAATGCTGGGATTGCAGGTGTGAGCCATCGTGCCTGGCTTAAAATAAATTTTTAAAATCCTATATCATTACCCGGGCCTGCAATGCACCCAGCCTGGCCTCTTTGTTCCTGAACAATGCAGGCAAATCCTTCACACCTGCCCTTCCTGCCACCTGCATGAGCTGCTCCAGGAGTCTGCAGACCCTTTGCTCCTTTCACATTTTTATTCAAATTCCACCTTCTCTGAAAGGCCTCCCCAATAAGGTCTAATTTTAAATTGAAAAAAATTGCCCCAGTGTTCTTCTTTGTAGTGGGTGGGATGGTGCTCCCCCCCCCAAAAAAATATATCTACATCGTAACACCTGGAATCTATGGTTGTGCCTTACTTGGGAAGAGGGTCTTTGTAGATTAAATTAAGTTATGGGTCTTGAGATGAGATCATCTCAGATTATCCAGGTGGACCCTAAATCCAATGTGTCCTGATAAAAGACAGAAGAGAAGACACAGAGACCCAGAAGGAGAGGCCACGTGAAGATATATCACTATGCGATATAAAATGTATTTACCAAGTTTATTGACTTTCTACCCTACTAATCTATAAGCTAAAGAAAGCAGAGATTATCACTTTTGGTCCCTGCTGTACTCCCAGCATCTAGAACCATGTCTGGGACCTAATAAGTGTTCCATAAATATTCATTGATTAAGAAAACAAGTAGATGAACAAATGAATGAGTGACAGGTCCCCACATGTTGTGTCTGAGTAAATAGGAGAATTGTGGTTCTATTGATAAGCACATAGAAAGAAATCATAAAGAGGATTGAGATGGGGTAGCTACACAAGGTCCACTTTGTAGTTGGTCAGTTTGCTATAACAGAAGTACCAGTCAAAATATATCTGCTTTCCCTAATTTAGGATTCATTTGTCCAGCCAGCACTAAAAGAATTTTGAAAGATTTACACTATTACCTTAATAAGATAATTAATAAGACAAACACAGAAGAAACATGACAAGTATTGGAGATATTGAATGGATGTTTGGGTGAAATGTCAGTGTCAAAGATTAAATTTCAAGTATAACTCCTTCAAAATCCTATTTTAGCCAGCCTGTCTTGCACTGGACATTTTATTCTGTGAGTTTAAAATTGATTTGTTGATTGACGGATGGATTGATTTCACCTCCAATGCTTTCCCCTTTCTATATACCATGGCAATCCCAGTGTTCAGAAAGGCAGCAAAGACTCAAATTTTACAAAGGACAAGGGAAGGCCAATGGGTCTAGAAGGTAGGCAAATCCAGAGGAGACACTGAAGCTGCAGAAATTTCCCCAGCAGCACTGGCCTCGGAGCACATATCCTCATCAAGAGATGCCCTTAGCCTGAGCCCTGCAACAGGAGCGAGACTCTGAGGGGCCTGCACACACTTCAGGACACACAGGACCGGGTGTGGGGTCAGGATGCAATTCCAACCTTGGCCCACCTAAATTCCCCCACCCTTTGTACCTCTATTTAATGAGGTACTTCTGCTAGTGAAGATGCTTTCCAAGATAATTTTTTTTTACCATTTTATAAATGCTCCCCTCACTTACTGAACAAAAAGAATCTCATAATAGTTCATAGATCTTAAAAGTGGAATAGATCTCACCTGCCTGCATGCGTTTGAAATTTTAGGACATCTTTCAAATGGTACAGTGGCAGTGAGAGAGATACATATGGGAGTTCATTTTCCTTGCTTACTTTGTGTGATCTGTAGAGTCTCAGTGATCTCCTTGCAGAAGCCAAAAGGCCCTCATGGTTAGCATTTGGTCCTACCCCTTTCACAGAAGTGTAGTTATGCAGGAGGCACTGGCCCTGGGATGGGCTCAGAAAACCCCGTCTTCTTGCCAGCCAGTAGGAGGCAGCCCGTCCTCACCACACAGCTTCCACCTGAGCCTCAAAGTGTCTTTGAAACCATCAGAACTGAAAAACAGCCCTCATAAAATTTAAGAAAATATTAGCTTCATGGATGAAATCTGTATTGGGTATTGATTTTTTAATGGGCATTGAGTGCCCATGAAAATGAGATGAAACATTTTCTTGCAGTATCTGGTATATACTTTATATCTCAATAATCTGACATGTAATAAAACTATTTTCTATTTTTTTATTTTTGAGTTTATTTTAATTCCAAAGTTAAACCAAAACAAAAAAAAACTTGAATTGCTCTTAATTACTGTATTTTTCACCATGAGTGTTGGATTGTACTTGTATATTTCACATAGCTTTAAGAACAGTATAGTTATTAACATCTTCTTTATGACAGAAAGGTTTTTGCTTTATTTAAACAAAATGCCTAGCACCTATTGTGGAAGGAAAGTGACTTCTGAATTCTCAAAACATTTACAGGTAAAAGCAGTCAGTGCAGACTGTTCCTGTACCCCTCTGGAAAGAAAGAATCATTGCTTTATAAGACATTTAGCCACAGACCTGATGACAAATAAGACCCCCTTGGGACCAAATTGTGGGAGTAATTTTCCACAAAAAAAGGAAATAGGTATATTTTATTATTTACATTTTCCTTTTGTGGAAAATATATTATTTATATATGACATAGTCATATTAAAGCTGACTTCTCAGACCACATGTTAAAAATAGATTGCGGTCGTTTTGTTGCATGTGTTCTGTATTTGCACAAGTCAGAATTTTGAGTATTTGTTTCTCATAAACATCATGCTTTGACCCACTGGAAAGCAAGACTGTGACGTGACACATGACCCCTGAGCAGGGGCTGCATGCGAGGCATTGAGAGACTTCTCAGAGCTCCCCATGAGCTGAGCTGGCTGCCCGCTCCGGGAGTCATCAGGACCTACCCTATGGAGCTGGAGTTTCATCCCTCTGGGCATGTGTTAAATCACACTAATTCACACAATGCTGCTAACGGGTGACAATTAATGCACTGTCTCTTCCGGGGCATTTGTATTGCTTACCATGAGTGGATCTCTAACTGGCATGACAGGAATCCCAGGGCTATCCCTAAGCCTAGAGGAGAAATTCATAGACAGGACATCTCTAGCTCTTGTTGAAGGTTTTCTTGCCTGACTTCAAAACTGCATCTGACCACAGAATCATTACTCGCCACCCTGAGAGCTGGAGCCATGAGCTAATCTCAGAGAAGGGCAATCACAAGGTACCTACATTTTTTTTTTCCTTTTTTTTTTTTTTTTTTTTTTTGAGATGGGGTCTGCCTCTATTGCCCAGACTGGAGTGCAGTGGCACCATCACAGCTTGCAGCAGCCTCAACCTCCTAGGCTCAAGTGATCCTCCCTTCTCTCAGACTCCCGAGTAGCTGGAACTACAGGCATACACCACCACACCTGTCTAATTTTTGTGTTTTTTGTAGATACAGGTTTCACCATGTTGCCCAAGTTGCTCTCAAGCTCCTGGGCTTAAGGGATACACCTGGCTTCCCAAAGTGTTAGGATTACAGGCATGAGCCACAGCACGCAGCCCTAAATTTCATTCTGGTTAAATTGTGGGTTTAGAGCGTCAAATTAGAATAATCTGTAATCCATTTCCATGTGGCCATCAGTTGCTAAATCTTAAATCTGTGTCATTGGACAAGTTTTTGATTTCCCTAAACCCCTTTGTTCTTGTGTCAAATGAGGTTAATATTGGCAGGGATTTTGTAATTAGAGTAATGTTAAGATTTTAGCATAGAGCGTGGAACACAGAAAAAGCCTACCAAATGGTAGCTAGTAGCATTTCATGTTATGAGTTGAAACTGATTAGTTCTAGAGTCATAACATCTCAGGCTAGAAGGGACCTTCCTGGTCTCCCAGTCCAACCACGACTCTCCAACACACAACCAAGCAGTCGTGTCTGTGCAGGACAGCTTCCAAGATACTCAACATTTGACATAAAACTCTTCCATTGGGACTATTGCCAATAGCGGTGAGGAGGAGGGAAAGTGGTGTGAAGGCATATTTGCCAAAATGGGCTGTTTGAAAATATAACCTGACTTTTCTTGCACAGTTGGATTTCTGAGCACAGAAGTGTTGCAAGTTATCCTACTGGAATGGAATGTAAACTACAATCTAAGGTGTTACTTTGTGAAAGGCACTTTGAAAACAAACCCCCTCTCAAATCTCTTATAAACCACAGCTGTTAAAATCCAGAGGTACCCAGTTAGGTAGTAGAGATTTCTTTCCAACACAACTAATAAATGAGAGACTGCTCTGAAAACCTCGGCATGCATCACTTAAGCCTGGGAGTTGCACAGTGACACTCAGCTGGTGCCTGGCACTGGCAGAGATTATCATTGAAGCATTGAAGGTTATGCCAGGAATCATAACATTGCCACCTGCATTCTGGCTGGGAATCACAAGCCTGCCAGGAAAAGTCGATGCAGGCCCTCCATGTCCTTCCTCAGCGCTGGGGGCTGGAGGATGCTGTTAGGGATCAGCTTCACCCCCTACCTGCGATTCGACCTTGTTCCTGAGTCATTGTCCTCCCCGAGCCTCGGTGTGTTCACTCATCAAGTGGTGACAATTGTGAGCACCTGTCTTCCCTACCTGATTATTAAGGGCTTTAATGAATTTCATCCTCATAAAGTGCTTTCATATCCTTGACAGAACATTTCTATCCCAGTGTAGGTGAAAAGCCATTATCATTATTGACCTCAGAGTCAAAAGAGAGACACTGTTTCAGGCTTCCTTACTAATAAAATGGTAGTATCAAATGTTTATATAATGCTTTTCATCATAGACACAAGCACAAAATTTTAAAGTTCACAATTTTGAAATATGAATTTGTTGCATTATTCAATGTTGCCAGTTACAGTAGAGTTGCTCTAATGATTCTAAGTGCAGATGGCCAGAGCTGGCCTCAGATTCTCAGTTCATTAAATAGTCCTTCCTTTGACCAACAGGCCTCTCATTGTAAGGCAGCCTGGGTCTCAGCTGATGTCAAAAGCCCCATTCTACCCTGGGTGGATTGCTCACACAAAGGATTCCCATACGTATTCTGCTGCAGACAGGGATGGGGCTGGCTCTGCAGATGTCGCTGCCACCAGCACAGTCACTTTTGCTCCTCACACGATCTTGGGTCTCTTTCCAGAGACTTGCACAAAGCTCGATTCAGAGTTTGCCTGTGACCGATGCACACTTGGCCTGCAGATGGACAGAGGAGGAGGAAAAGGCGTCCCAGTGTTCTTCCCCACTTGCCTGGGAAAGCTTGGGAATTCTTGGCCTCTTTACCAGCTTCAACTCAGGCTGAAAAACAAATCAGAAAGTTGCCAATGGTTTCATTCAGTCTACGAAACTGGGTTAAAGTAACTCTGTGAGTGAAACCATCAATGCACAAAAGTCAGGAAATCCAAGATTGCCATTCCCACCGCCCATGGAGGTTCTCTGCACAGGTGATCCTGTGTCCCTGCTGGGGTGCCAAACTGCATCCTTGGCAAAGCACAGAGCCACGGAACCAGTTATCCTAGGAGTACATCAGCCTTTGGGGACTTAGCCATGGGGAAAACGGTCTGTGCATTCATGGCACTATAATTTCAACTCTTAAATATATTCATTTGTTTCTAAATTGACTTTTAAATGCAGTATCATATATTTACTGAAAAGTGCTCAAATGCTCAATGAGCAACTCACTGAATTTTTACAACATGAATACACCCATGGAACCAATATCCAGGCAAGAAATCAAGCACTGTCAACACGCAAGGAGGCCCCAGTCAGCCTCTTCCCCATCTCTAATATGATGATAAAACCCAACTATAAACATTAACAAAGGAATGGGATGTAAATAGACTCTGGAACTCTAGAAGAGATTCGAAAATCTTATTTGAAAGTATCTTCTGAAATTGAGATTCCTAGGAACACTGGCAGATGTTGCTATCATTAGAATTCTCACCCAGCTAGCAGAATAAAGGCTGTGGTTACCCTGAAAAATTCCACAGGCACCGTCTCCAGAGATGGCTGTATAGCATCTGTGCCCTTCCTTCTGATAGGCAGATTCTCCCAGTAGAGGAAACACACGTGACAGGTGTTCCCAACCAAGGACACAAGGAGAAGCTCAGCAGAGCAGGTCAGTGCTGGCTCCACCCTGGGCCTCGGAGTCAGATGTCAGGCCTGGCCACGTACATTTCAAAAACTTCCCAAAGAGATTCTGAAATGCATCCCTGGGTGAGAACAACTCTCTCAAAGTGTTATTCATTTTGTTCTTCCATTACACCTTCCAAGCCCATTCCCTCTGACAACAAAAGAATGAAACCCAGCAAAGGCACAGGAAGGGGGTCAGGTGAGTTTCTTCTCCCTCTTCCTTACTTCATCTGGGCTGATTTTGAAAATGGCTCCAATTACCCAAATAATTGGTCAAAATCCCAGCCTCCAGAGATCAGCTCCTGTTTGTATGTAACTCCAGGCCTTTGCCTGCGTCTAAAATGCTCTCTTTCTCTTCTCCACACAGCAAACTCCTACATGTTCTGCAAAATCCAGACTAATTGTCTCCACTCTGTGTTTCCTGACTTAGTCCTTCTGTGCTCCCTAATATCCCATTAAAGGCCTCCTTACAGTTATCAATGGTTTTTTATTTTATTTTATTTTATTTTATTTATTTATTTATTTTTTTGAGACAGAGTCTTGCTCTGTCACCCAGCCTGGAGTGCAGGGTGCGATCTCGGCTCACTGCAACCTCCTCAGCCTGCCAAGTAACTGGAATTGCATGTGCCACCACATCCGGCTAATTTTTGTATTTTTAGTGGAGACAGGGTTACACCATGTTGGCCAGGCTGGTCTCAAACACCTGACCTTGTGATCCACCTGCCTTGGCCTCCCAAAGTGCTGGGATTGCAGGCATGAGCCACTGTGCCCGGCCATCGATGGCTTCTTTACGGTTCTTGGCACATCGCATTGTAATGACCTTTTGTGCTGCCTGTACCACCAAATAGACTAAGATTTTCCTCTTTCCACCTCTGCATTCTCATGACCTAAAATGAACCATGGAATATGCCAAATAAATAAATGATGAATGTATGCATGGATGGATGGATGCATGGATGGATGGATGGATGGATGGATGGATGGATGGATGGATACTTACAAGTGCTTTGTAAAGCGCAAACCATTCAATTTCCATTCATTCTATAACTATCACACACAAATGGCTATCTGGAACTCAAATATCCCTTTTTCCCTAGACTCCATCCTTCTCACCCTCCAAGTAGAGAGCCAATTCTTTTCCATTTCAACAGGAACTAGGAACTCTACACCTTCACTATGTATTATAATTGTCAGCAAAATTTTATCTTTCTTTTTGGCATCATTATTCTCTGAAACTTACTTCCAAAGTCTAACATTACCATGGGCCTTTTACCTCTCTCTTTTACCCTAAAAAGCAAACATGGAGCAAATAGGCCCCTTCGGTTGGGGGTGGGAGGGGTCCTACAAAATGTGCTTGAGAACATCCACCTAGGGAACAATGGCATCAAGGCCAACCCAAGCCTGCATTGTGGTTCAGCAGGTGGTCCAGTGGCTGCCAGGTGTATATACACAGCAATGGATTTCTTGGGAAGACTAAGCTACAGCCAGCCCCAGAGGTGACAGTGAGCTGAGAGTTCTACACATAGAGCTGCCCCCAGTGGCTGGTGGTTTCCTTTACGGAGGAAATGTTTTGGATCCCAGTCCTAGCATGTGATGGTTTTACTACATTCCAAAAGCGGCCATGTGGCAGAGGCATGCTCAGAATAAGGCATTTGAGTACATGAAGAAAGTGGAATAAACTGTAAAGTTAGAGGGAATTGAACAGCTGGATATACGGGATATTAACTAAGATGTGTCTTAAAGTGATATGAATTAGTGTGTTCCTTACCACAGGAAACCAGTGTGAGAAGGTTTAAACAGCCATGGTGGCTCACACCTGTAATCCCAGCATTTAGGGAGGCCGAGGCAGGTGGATCACTTGAGGTCAGGAGTTCAAGAGCAGCATGGCCAACATGGCAAAACCCTGTCTCTACTAAAAATAGAAAAAATTAGCTGGACATGGTGGTGGGTGCCTGTAATCCCAGCTTCTTGGGAGGCTGAGGCAGGAGAATCACTTGAACCCAGGAGGAGGAGGGTACAGTAAGCCAAGATTGTGCCACTGCACTCTAGCCCAGGCAATAGAGCGAGACTCTGTCTCAAAAAAAATAAACAAAACAAACAAAATAAAAAGAAAGCATGTAAATAGCATCATTAACAATATGTCAGAAGTTCACATTAGTATAATGCCAGAGCTTGATAAAATATTAGAGACCACATACATCAAACCCATAATTTTATATAAGGCAACCGAACTACCAATACAAACCATGAACAAGTTTCATAGCAGGGTCAGTCATGATATCCATTTTACAGTTCAATTTGAAAGTTATTCAGACCTATCCAACCTCAAAAATTCCCACGTGGTGTCTGTTATGATGTGTCATGTATTCCCAACACTTTTTCATTTCTTTGAGGAACAATATCGTGTTTCCAGAAAGTGCACATTAAAAACAAATCTGTTGTCAAATTGAATGGCAGTCCACAAAGTAAATGTCCTATACTCTAAAAGTCAAGGTCATAAAAGTTAAAAACGAAAAGGCTGATGAACTGTTCCAGACAGAAGAAAGACAGACATGACAGTGAAATGAAATGTGAGACCCCGGGTTGGATATTGGCTCCTGGACCAGGAAAATAACCATTTTCTTTTCCTAAAAAGTACATAAGGGAAACAGTTAATACAATTCAAATAAGATCTATAGATTAAATGTGTCAATTTCCTGATTTTATCATTATAGAGGAGAATGATCTTGTTTTTGGAGAATGCACACTGAAGTGTTGGGGGTAAAAGAGCATGGGCCACACATTTTTGTTTTTTTTCTTTTGAGACAGGGTCTTGCTCTGTCACCAAGGCTGGAGTACAGTGATGCGATCATGACTCACTGCAACTTCCAAATCCCGGGCTCAAGCAATTCTCCTGCCTCAGTCTCCCGAGTAGCTGGGATTACAGGCACCTGCTGCGAAGCCCAGTTAGTTTTCGTATTTTTAGTAGAGACAGGGTTTCACTATATGGGTCAGGCTGTCTTGAACTCCTGACCTTAGGTGATCCACCTGCCTCGGCCTCCCAAAGTGCTGAGATTACAGGCATGAGCCACCGCGCCCAGCTGGGCCACGTACATTAAAGTCACCTTTGGGCATCTCAGCAGGAATGAGACAAGTACCTGCAAGGATAGCATGCCCAACTGGGAGGCGGTGCAGAGTCTCAGTGATGCAGCCTCTTGTGCTGCCAGATTCCCCCCAAGTGATGGCATACAAGTGGTTACACACATTGCTTAACACCTCCACTGCCCTTCGTTTCCTCAGCTGAGGGTGTGAAGAAAAATACTAGTGGTCAACACTTAGGAAAACCTTCATCAGTGCCAGGCACTGCTTCAAGCGCCTCACCTGCATTACCAACAACCTTTTACAAATGAGAAGTCCGAGGCACAGAGAGTGAAGCAATTTGCTCGAGGCTACATAGCTGAGTGTAACCAAAACTGAACCACTCCCTTATACCATGTCTCAGGTCTTAGCATTTCTGTGAAACATAAATGAAATATGTCAAGCATTGAATTTAGTGGCCATGGGCAGGAAGTGCTTGGTAGAGGTTAGCTTAATCATCAGTGTTACCTTCACCACCACCATGAGTGAAAGATATACTGCAGTACCCGGGCCATCGGCTGGACCCTAAGTCCTCAGCGCTAAGGTTCATTTCCTCGCTAACTGTTGTGTAGAGTTTCATCAAATCATGCAATCCATAAGCTAAACCCCAGATATCTCAGAAGAGCTAAAACAAAACTAGGAGTAACAGAAGTAAATATTTCCTTTCGTGGAACAACTAATAACTTTGTAGGCTGGTTTCATAAAACTTGGCTGCATGATTCATTTAGACTTGAGGATATTTTTCAAACTATTTGGATTCCTTTTCAGAACACCACAAAACTGGGGAAGCATGACTGGGCGGCCTCAGGAAACTTACAATCGTGGTGGAAGGTGAAGGGGAAGCAAGCACATCTTACATGGCAGAGCAGGAGAGAGAGAAAAAGCAAAGAGGAAACTGCCATACACTTTCAAACTACCAGATCTTATGAGAACTCACTCACTATCATGAGAACAGAAAGGGGAAAGTTCTCCCCCATGATCCAATCACCTCCCATCCGGTCCCTCCCCTGACACATGGGGATTACAATTCAACAGGAGATTTGGGTGGGGATACAGAGTCAAACCATATCAGATGAGTTTTTTGGTGGTTTTTGTTTGGTTGGTTGGTTTGGGGTTTGGGTTTGCTTTTTGTTTTTTGTTTTCTTGAGACAGGATCTGACCTTGTCACCCAGGCTGGAGTGCAACGGTGCAATCTGGGCTCACTGCAACCTCCACCTCCCAGGCTCAAAACATCCTCCCATTTCAGCCTCCTGAGTAGCTGAGACTACAGGCATGCCCCACCACATCCAGCTAATTTTTGCGTGTGTGTATTTTTGGTAGACGGGGTTTTGCCATCTTGCCCAGCCTTGTCTCTAACTCCTGGGCTCAATCAACCCTCCACCTCAGCCTCCCAAAGGGCTGGGATTACAGGCATGAGCCATTGCACCCAGCCTGTTTTTGTTTTTTGAGGCAGGATCTCACTCTGTGGCCCAGGTTGGAGTGCAGTGGCAGCAATCTTGGCTCACTGCAGCCTCAACCTCCTAGGTTCAAGCGATTCTCCCACCTCAGCCTCCCAAGTAGCTGAGACAACAGGCGCATGCCACTACACTCAGCTAATTTTTTAATTTTTTTAGAGACAGGGTCTCCTTATGTTGCCTAGGCTGGTCTCAAACTCCAGGGCTCAAGTGATCCTCCCACCTCAGTCTCCCAAAGTGCTGGGATTAGATGCCTGAGCCACCGCACTCAGTTGCTTTGGTGGTTTCTACTTGGTTGGTGCTGATACTGAATGGATGGGTCATCCAGTCATGCTCCTTAAGTTCAAAAGGACACTGGATTCGTCACCTAGGGCTGCTGTAATAAAGCTCCACAGATCAGGTGGCTTAAACAATGGAAATATATATTCTCCAAGTTTTGGAAGCTAGATACCCAAAATCAAGACATCGGCAGGGTTGTTTCTTCTGAGGTCTCTCTCCTAGGGCAGTACAGATTCATCTTCTCCCTGGGTCTTCATATGATCTTTCCCCCTCTGTGTGTGTCTGTGTCCTTATCTCCTCTCCGTATAAAGACACCAGTCATGTGGGATTGCAGCCCACCCTAACAGCCTCATTTCAACTTCATCACCTTTGTAAAAACATCTCCAGATGCAATCAACTTTCTGAAGTACAGGGGTTAAGACTTCAGCATGTGAATTTGGGGTGAGGACCCAATTTCACCCAAAACAGAGACTTAGACAGAGGGGAAGACAGAACCCATACACGTGTGTCTTCAGTTTGAGGAATGAATATTCCCTGGAAGCTCATTGTTTGTGAAACACTATTTCTAGCTTCTGATATCACCGGTCTCCTCCAAATCAGCCTCCCTGAGAACTAATTCGACAAAGGGTCCATCCTAGCAAAGTTTTCAGAACCTTCTCTTGCATCTCCATAAACTCCTTCTTGAAGTCCACTGAACACCCCCTTGACATCCCCAGCCAGCTGGCCCTGCACCACCATCTTCTAGGGAACTTCCAGTATGCAGGAATACAAGATTTTTGTGCTTAATATGTTGGCACCATTGCTGCATTCAACGCTCAACCAATATGGCTAAGCAACTTGGAAATAGTCCATCCTCTTAATAGCTGATATAATTTTAGTACTTTATTTACTGCAAACATTGAATTTTTCCTTCAGGCCTCATAGAGAACAGCACTGACAACTTCCAGAAACATATTTGAAATGCCTGACATAGTGTACACAGCTGATGAGAAATGTTCCAAGTGTGCTGTGACAAAAATGAGGAAAAGTCGAGAGGAAACCACTAATCCAAAATGAAAGCTGTCCAAAGCTCTCTGCCTCACATCCCACTTCTGATTGAGGGACCCGTGGCCTGCACACCTGCCTCGGCCACTAATCCCCCAAGGGACCGCAGGCCTCTGTCTCCATGTCAGTTACACGGGAGTGAAAAATAGACTGTTCTCTGCTCCCCAAACTATGTAAGGAGGGAAAAATGAGATGGAACTGTAAGAAAAACTTGGGTAAAAGTCAAAACTTTGGGTAAAAGTTAATTTCAATTCCTCATTGTCAAAACCGACTTAAATACATTGAATTTGTTATTTTTATTCTGGCATTGTTTAGCAGGTTATGCTCTTACCAGATAAAGATGAGATGGCTCCCACAGTAAAATGTCTGTCTTCAACTCCATGAAAAGATTTAGAGCTGTGATTTCATTGCCATTATCCGATCCTTACCGAATTTCCGTGGCTCAGGACTTTCTCCTACACGACAGAAGATAACCGGACCACTGACTCCTTTTATTTGTGGGCCGCGTATAGTAAAATCTGTGACCACCAGGGGGCAGCACAGACCTGGTGCTGCTGTAGACCCGGTCGCTGGGTGTTCGCTGCAGGGTTTCTCCAGCCAGAGTCCTCCCTTCCCCCAGGAAAACCTCTCTGCGCTGCAGGAATCTGAAAGTGCCCGGAAGCTGCTGCCAGAGCCCCCAGATGGCAGACCCTTGCCCTGAGGATGCCCTCCTTCTGCCCAGTGCTGGACAAGGGACTCCGCCCTGGGAGCTGAGTCAAAGCAGGACTGGGCTGCCTTTGGTGCTCAGGGTGGTCCCTGAACACGGGCCCGGGGACAGAGACCAGGCCCAGGATCCACAGGCCACGCAAGGCATCTGAACCTGAATTCACGGTCTCCAGGCCCTGGGATCTTTCTGAAGACTTGGGGGCAGGAACCAGGCAGCCCAGGGCAGGGGCATCAAAACCCCTGGTCGGGAGGGAAGAGAAAGCCCATCGGCCTTGGGAAGAGTCTAAGAGCAAACCAGGCTCCATACTGACCTTCCGCTGCACTCGCAGAGCGTATTCTCCTTCTCATTCACTGTTAGCGCCTAAGCCTGGACTAGCACCTCACACCACAGAGGAATGAAGGCACCGCAAGACGCCAGCGACCAAAGCAGAAAGCTCTGAGGGAAGGGGCAGCCCCGCAGGGTGGTCTCCCTGGTTCCCTGTTTGTTGTGAAACACATGCAGCTCCCCGACAGCAGGCAATGGTCGTGGTAAACACAAAACCCCAGCCGGAAACCAAGACACGATCAGAACCAGGCGACAAGATCCTGTCACAAGGGAAACAGAAGCTCAGCCTGGCTCGCATTGGTGGGGTGTTAGGGCTGATACTTCCACAGCTCTCTTCACTTACCTGGTAACTGGCCCAACTCGTCCTGTCACCCAAAACTGGGGGTAGATGGGGGTCCAAGGAAGCATGGCAAGGATAGCCGTAGGGTGACAAGGCTGGGGTGGCTCTGCACGCAGCTCCCCCTGCAGTTCCCACACACGGGCTTCCCATTCATCCCGGTGATTGATGCTCCTGGAAGCGCCTGGAAACTCTGCCTGTGAGCTAATTATTCTGGGGAATGACCTGCATCCTGGTCAGGAGTGAGCAGGGAGATCATTAGGTGAGAGCTGGCTATTCACAAGAGGGCAGCCTTTGATGCGAGCCGAGCAGAAAGTTTGGCCGAAACTCAACACCTCTTGGAAGTACAGATTAGTGGAGAGAAAGAAAGGAGAACGCATTGTGGAAGTTTTCAAGAAGGAGACAAAGATGCCTGTGTTTTGTATCGCTCAGCTGCCTCAGGAAAATGTCCATTTGTTTTCTTTACACTCCTTTTACATTTTAAGTGGAATCTAGTGAATGTGTCTTTTCAGCGTTCCTAGTTTCACCATTTTCACTACACCTCGTGTTGCCATTTTAATGAAGCATCATTTTTCCAGAGGGTGTGGGAACAAAACCTATTTAATGACCTCTCTGAGCAAACACTGAGTTCTTCAAATATTTCCCTGAATTAAAATCCCCACCTCACAATTCACTTCCTTTTTTAAATGTCAGTTTGCCAACTGCTGCAAACCAATAAACAGGGCTTTCCTTTACCCACAAGCCAGAGGGCTCCTGTGGAGCCTCATGGCCTGGGGGTGCCTGAGAAACCCCGGCTGTCCTTGTCTGGCTGCTGCTCTGGGAGGGCTCAGTGGACGCAGCAATCCCCCTGGAAGCACAACATCATGTGCCTTGCATCTCTGCAGCACACAGGTTTAGGGGACTCAGCCAAAACCTGGGAGGCCCTGGGAGTTTCTCTGGTCCAGCCCTTCACTCTACAGACAGGGAAACTGAGGCCAGCAAGGAGAGGCATGCATCAGCCACACAGGGCGTCACCAGTAGAACAGGAAGGCCATAAAGAATAAGCAGCGTTGGTCCCATGTAGCCTCAGCATCACTTAGGGGAGTTGTGCAAAACGCATATTATACCCTTCCCAAATCTACCAAATTAGAGCTTCTAGAGTGGGAACTGGGAATGTACATTTCAACCACATTCCACATGGTGATACACATTAACTTTTGGGAAGAACTAGTAGTAATAGAAAGAATAGGTTTGGGCGGGGTGTGGTGCCTCATGCCTGTAATCCCAGCACTGTACAGGCGGAGGCCCAAGCGGGCAGGTCAACTGAGGCCAGGCGTTCGAGACCAGCCTGATCAATATGTGATACTCCATCTCTACTAAAAATACAAAAATTAACCGGGTGTGGTGGCTCGCCCCTGTTATCCCAGCTACTCAGCAGGCTGAGGTAGGAGAATCACTCGAACCTGGGAGGCAGAGCTTGGAGGGAGCAAGATTGCGCCACTGCACTCCAGCCTGGCTGACAGAGTGAGACTCCATCAAAAAAAAAAAAAAAAAAAAATAGGTTTGAATCCCATCTCTGCCGCCTACCTGCCTACCAACTCAGCTCCTTTGGCAAGGTAATGCTTCTGAGCTCCATTTCCTCATCGGTCACTGGGGAGATTGCTGTGGAGACACCGTGAGACGGTACATGTAGGCACAGTCAGGCCCTGGGACCTGGCACAAGGAGGCACTCTCTCAGTGTCACCTGTCCTCTGGAGGCTAGCACAACACACAATTTCTGGAGTCCCAGAGCCCCCACTTATAGACTGTATGAGCTTGGGCACTTTGTTTCTCTTTCAAGCCTCGGTTTCCTTGTCCGTAAATGGAGATAATAATATTACCTCCTTCCAGGAATGCTGTGAAGGTAAAAAGTAATATCGAGTTGAAGCAGCACAGTCTAGTCATGAAACAAAACCACTGTAGGTCTTTCAGCAGACAGATTTCAAGGCAGGGATTTAGTTCCACAGGGGATAGAAGAGCTAAGTTGCCAAACAGAACAGAGGCCATCTAGAGAGAGGCTGCTGGAAGGACAAAGGAAGATGGCTGTTTTGTAGAGCCGGGGAGTCAATCCAGGCACCCCAGTAGGTGCTGGAGCATGGTGGGGCAGGGGAGCTAATGCCACGGAGAATTAGCTGCTGCTGGATGTGGAGATACCACACAAGGAAGATAGAGAGGAGAGAAAGGCCCAGGCTACTCTTTTCCCCTCACCCTGTAGTCTCCTACCAGTGCCTCTCCTTGCCCAGAGGAGGTAGAAGTCAGAAGATACAGGAGGCTGGGAAGTGTATCCAGAGACACAGAGCAGAGAGAAAGGACAGACGTTGGGCCTGAGAGCAAACAAGCAAACGCCTAGCACACACACAGAAAAGCACTTATACATTCTCAAACACAGAGGGAGCATCCTGTTAGCGCTTGTCATAGTCACTGTTAACAACAAAATACAACAGCCTGAAGGAATAGGCTCTTAGCAAGAAAAGTGTGTCTGTGGGAAGCCTACCTTTCATTAGTCACACACAAGCATCATTTCTCCAGGAGTGGCCACCACATGGAGGGAAAGTCCTAAAATTAGAGTCCCAGATGTGCTTCTTATAAAGGCAACCTCTTTGTCTATGAAAACATGAGTTTCACATGTATCACAAGGCTGTAAGGAGATTGGAGACATGAAGGTGCTTAAAAGTGCTATGCCAATACGGGGCATGCTTGCATTCTCCAAAGGGCGCATTTTCAAAAAAAAAAATGGTTGTCAGATTCACTATGATGTACAGTCAACAGAATTATTATTTTTTCAACTAATTTTTCAAGTTCATCATTTTCTTTTCAGGAATTCTGATAGAATATTTCTGAGCAAATACTCTTAACTGCTTAGTTTTCCACTACTGAAGTGATGCTCCAGCCAAAAGTTCACGAGAACCACTGAGCTAATGTGATAACAACCCATTCTGTAAGAGTGGGCTCTTACATATCTCCACAAGCCTTGATTGTCCCGTTTGTCTGTCTCCACTGATTCAGGCAGATAAAACCATTGCTACACTATAATAGAATCAATACTAGCATATTTATATATACTAGTATATACATATACACACAATCTCTAATATATATTATGCAAACTATTGTTTGACTAATCTTTTTGTGCATTTCATATGCACTACTACCATTTAATTTATTATGTAACAATAAGAAAAAGATGAGCCGGGTGCTGTGGCACACACCTATAGTCCTAGCTGCTTGCGAGGCTGAAGCAGAAGGATCCTTTAAGCCCAGGAGTTCAAAGCCAGCCTGGCAACATAGCAAGACCCTGCCTCTAAAAAAAAAAAAAAAAAAAAAAAAAAAAAAAAAGATGATGTTGATGAATTTTCCAGCTGTAATGTTTGATAAGTTTCATAAGTTCTTGATTACTTAACAGAGTTCTGATAACAAAAGTGTTATTGTTTGGGGATTATATTTGTGCACAGTAGCTGCATTTTATATCTTTATAATGAAAACCAATTCACTTTTGCAATACTGGTTTCTTGTGTGCTAGCTCCCTGGTCTACTAGGTCATTGCTCTAGGCACTGTGAAATATTCTGAAATTTACTATTTTTAATATACTACTAAAATGCTTAATTTTCCCCGCAAAGTACTACGTTATATGTTCAGGAATACTTTACTTTGTCGGTTTTAGAAAAGAGTGTTCCGGAATGTGGTCAAACAGCCAGTGCACCCCTGAGTGTCAACAATCATGCAGCAGCTGGCAGAGCTTGTTTGGCATTGGTGAGCCAGGTGTGCAGCCTGGAGCCAGGCTCACATGACAGGAGCAACCAGGGGGCCCAAGAGGGAGACCAGGACAGACCAGGGATACAGCTGGGATGCAGCATTTGGGGACTCAGGTAGCTCCACAGACAGGTCTGGGCCTTTTGCTTCAGCTCAGGAGGGTTCACGTGGGACTTTCGCCAGGGGAGAACCAAGCCCCAAATCGGAGTGGTTTGACATTTGCCAAAAAAGAGAGGTGTAGGCCAAGCGTCTTAAGATATTTATCCTAAGGAACATTCCCAAGAGGGGGCAAACAGGAGATGCCAGGAATTAAGGGTATTTGGACTTGGACACAGGGATGGAAACCCCTCATTTTCCCTGCATCTTATGCAGAGAGCCAAGAGCAGTAGCATGGAGGGACCTCCCACCCAAGAACATGGGGAAAAGCTTGTCCTCAAAGAGCTAAATCAGCAAGTCTATATGTGATATAAGATAGGGGATCTACGATTCCAGTTCTTCGTGGTCTGGTCTCACCAAGACTGTTGAAATACGTTTGAAAACACCCAAGATGCAGTAAAGAGGACCCAAGGATCACCACTGGAAAGTGGACTTAAATTGTGACTGCAATCAGGTAAGCAGGAACTTGGTCAACTCTGTTGAATTATGTTAGGAGAAAGGTTGTTTGAACTTGAAAGCACAGGCAACCTCACACACAGAATAGGTAAACTTGAAGACCAGGCAGGTTAGTATCCACACAAACTCAATGAAGGGAGGAGGCAGGGTGGCCTGTAGAGACTAGCACTACAGTCAGTGGACATAAATATATATGGCCTCTGAAACACACTGATTTATTATCTAAATTAGACAACTCCTTCACTTTTCTCCTATTCTATATTCATCAGGGAACCTCCTGTGTATAATGTTGACTCTCCTAGGAAAGGTGCTGAGAGAGATAATAGGCTCATCATATTGCCTGAAATATCTGTCAAAAGAAAGCTCAAGGTTTTTATTGCAAAATGATACTGGTACTTTGATTTATACATCAGTCTCTTGTCATATTGGTTAATGGGAGTTTTGCCCCCAGAGAACCGGATTCCCACCAAGTATCCTTAAAATTTATAACATTTGAAGCTGCAAAGCTGAAAAGCTGACCTGCTATCATGTGGAATCTGCAGAAGGTAAATGCCAACTGAGGAGCTATGTAAGCATTCACACAGCCAACCTCCCTTGATAACATCCCAACATTGCCACATGCCACCTTTTAAATTTAAACAAATAACAGTTTAACAGTGTTGGGTGTGTTTGTGCCAGTTCATTTCCAATGTTCCACACGTAAAACAGCTTGAAGCCTATAAAACTGGAGATATTGTTGTCTCGGGCCAGATCTGTGCTATAGGAAAGGATTCAGGGTCTTTGAACTATAAATAAATTCAATTAACACTGGGCATTAAATTGTAAACTGCTACAGCAGAGTTTAGATATGGTAAGTCACAGAGCAATCAGTACAGTTTTCTATGTAGCTCCAACTACATTTCCTTCAGAGCCTTTTAGACACTTCTGAGACTTTTATAGTTTCCTAACAATTTAAAACTTTTGGACCAAAAATCAAATAGTATTCTGGCCATTAAACAAATGACCCACAATATGATAACATTTTTAAAATCAAGAAATAGGAGACATTATAACTAAAGAGATAAACAAATTTGACCCTGTTAAAGTTTTAAATTTCTGTGAAGGTAACTATCAAAATTAGAATTTAAAAGGCAAACATATTGGAAATATATTTGCAGCAAATATGGCAATAAATGAGCAAATATTTTATTGAAAAGTATTTGGGCCGGGCGCGGTGGCTCAAGCCTGTAATCCCAGCACTTTGCGAGGCCGAGACAGGCGGATCATGAGGTCAGGAGATCGAGACCATCCTGGCTAACCCGGTGAAACCTCGTCTCTACTAAAAAATACAAAAAAAAAAAAAAAAAAAAAACTAGCCAGGCGAGGTGGCAGGTGCCTGTATTCCCAGCTACTCGGGAGGCTGAGGCAGGAGAATGGCATAAACCCGGGAGGCAGAGCTTGCAG